CATCGCAGTTCCTTCCTGTTACTGAGTGGGCTAGAGGAATTTGGGGGGTGAGGGCCTCCCCTCTGCAGCTGGGTCCTGGCCACTCCAGGGTGATGGGAACGCAGGGCCAGGAGAGGCCGGCTGGCTGTGCTGTTCCTGCCAACTTTGGGGATTAGGCCAAGGCTCTCGCCCACCTGTTGTTTCACTCATTCAGCATGAACATAGCTGAGGGCTTTCTGTAAGCCTTGGATGCTGTTGGGAGGATTCGGGTAAGTGAGAAATGGTCTTTGGCCTCAAAGATTTTACAATATTCTCAGAGGTGATCACATACACAAATAACCATGATACCAGAAAATGTGAGCTAAGTGACACATGACAACCCAGCTACTCTTTCAATAAACATTTGTTGAGCATCTATTATGTGTCAGGAGCCATGCGGGATGATGAGCATGATAAAGGCAGTTAAATCACAATCCTGGCCCTTAAGTTCTTAGGCTGATCCAGGGGAAACAGACACATAAACGAGATAAATATAACAGCGGGGCAAGCCCACAGGCGTAGATATGGCCAGGGAGACTCAGGAAGGGGTTCCACTCAGGATGGGTAGGGTGGGGACGAGCAGTGGGAAAAGGCCGGAGAAGGGAGGTCTTCTTGAGGGGCCAGCTCCTGAACTGAGCATTCTGGGTGGGGAGGCAAGGGCAAGCTGCGGGGCTAGGACACCCTCTGCAGAGGAATCAGCTGGGACAAAGGCACAGGAGTAAGAAGCAGCACCGTAGGTACTATCTGCAACTGAACCCAAGTCCTCATGGGCATGGGGAGAGGAGCCACAGGAGGGGAGACTGGGCCAGATCAGAGTCCTATTTGCCTTGCCAGATCTTGGATCTTACAGGTGCTGGGAAACCCTGAAGTGTTTAGGGGGAGCTTGGTAGTTCACTCTGGCTCAGTATAGAGCAGGGGTCCTCAATCTATGCCCGCGAGCCACATGCGGCCTGCCGAAAACATTTATGCGGCCCGCCGAAAACATTTATCCGGCCCTCTGGGTGTTTTTGCCGCCGCTGTATGCGTAGGAATTTGTTCATAGTTTTTTTTTAAAACTATAGTCCGGCCCTCCAACGGTCTGAGGGACAGTGAACTGGCCCCCTGTTTAAAAAGTTTGAGGACCCCTTGTATAGAGGAAGGGTTGAGGGGCATGGATTGGAAGAAGGAAGGCAAGTTGTCAGACTATTGTGGATCCAAGAAATAGACAGGCTAGCTGTGCCTGAGAGGGTGGATGGTGAGTATGAGAAAGACCAGCTTCGCAAACAGCTCTCTGCTGGAGTGACCAGGCGGAGCACACAGGGAGAGGCGGGCTCCCACCTGGAACGAGTGTGGCTCTGGGAACTGGGGAGCATTAAGTATGGGCAGAGTCAGGGGACAGCCAGGCATGTGGATGGGACGCTGCACCATCTGGTCCCAGGACTCCCAAATTCTGGCTTGTGGACAGGACTGGTCTGAGAAAGTGAGGAAAATATGGGCATGTAATGAGCTTCTTATAAGCCAAATGTATGCTCTTTAAAGAACCATTCTTAGAAGTGTCTGCAATTAAATCAATATGCATATCACTTACAGGCATTAAGTGAATTACCAAAATAAATCTCTTAAAGATTCAAAAGTGGTGAGTGTTTTTTTGTTTGTTTGTTTTTTGGTGGGGGTGAGGGATGAGGCATTGGAGACAAGGGTTTTATTTTTAATTTAAAGGGTTTTAAAATAAGCCTTTTTAAAAACATATATTTTATTGATTTTTTTACAGAGAAGAAGGGAGAGGGATAGTTAGAAACATCGATGAGAGAGAAACATCAATCAGCTGCCTCCTGCACACCTCCTACTGGGCATGTGTCCGCAACCAAGGTACATGCCCTTGACCGGACTCCAATCTGGGACCTTTCAGTCTGCAGGCTGACGCTCTATCCATTGAGCCAAACCGGTTAGGCTAAAATAAGCCTTTTAAACGATCATATTTAAAAACTCATGAAACATACAAAATTATAAAAACCACCACTGGCCTTTGTCCTGAGTTTAGGTCCTTTCTTTTAATTGCTAACAGTGGACTTGCTTGTATGAAACGACACAAAGACAGCAGGCTTTTCTCTCCCCTGTTCTCACTGAGCCGAGCCGTGCAGAGCACCTACCACAGGCTGAGCGCAGGGTTCTGCGCGCCTGCGACCCCGCGACCGGCCGGCAGGGGTCAGGCGAGCCCCACGCACAGCCCGCGGAGCCGCGCCGAACCCAGAGCCAGAGCCGCGTTTCTGGGCGCGCGGTGCCTCCGGGGAGAGGGGCAGAGGGAGGGCCCTAAACCTACCTTAAACTGTGGGGTCACGACGAACAGCCACCTGAGTCATGAGTCCGGGCTCCGCGGGGCAGGATGTGAACTGAGCGCCCCCTCCACGCTGTGTTGACACCAGCTCTGGGTCCACCCAGCGTCTGGGCGGGGCTGGCTCAACTCCGATTTGTTCGCGTGCCCGTGGGCCACTCACCTTACCCGTCTCTTGGGATGGGGCTCCTGTGCAACCTTTAATTGATTTATCCTTCCCTTATGCTCTCTTCCACCTCCACCCAACCCTCCCCCAACCCCGTGTGCAACCTTGTCTTCACAACCGGGTTGTCAGGAAGATCAAGGAATTAATATGTCAAAACGAGGGTTGAGAGGGCTGCATAGGCAAGGTATTGCCATTACTAGGTTATATGGGTTTAGAATTAGGACTCAGGCCTCTGGGAAGCGTCCTGTAGCTACAGCCCCAGATAGACCAGTTGTTCTGAAAGGTGGCCTGTGCCTCAGAATTACCCCTGGAGATGTGATTAGGTCTGGAGCCCATCCAGGAATCTGCATTTTATTTTTTTACAGATTGCCAAGCTCTCACAACAGGTGTGCCCACACCACACTTGGAGAACCATTCCCTTAGCTTCTACTACCATCCCACAGGGCAAGCAGTGGGAAAGCAGGGACGGTAGTCAACAGGGGAGCTTGGGCTGATAGTGTGACTGGCTTACAATTGGAGTGGAATTAGAGGCAGCCCCAGGAAGGAGGGCTGGCCGCTGAGGCTGTAGAGTTGCACAGTGCATGTAAACAAGCAAGGACTCCCACAAGAACCAAAGTGGAAGGGCCCCTCCTCTTCCATTCATGACTCACTCAAGCTATACATTTTTTTGGTGTTACGAGAACGATTGCTTTCTTCCCAAGTTGGTGGCAAGGTTTGTAACCCATCTTGACTGGACGAAACATCCCATTCTGTCACACTGTGAATGTCTCCGGGCTTGTTGTCCCAGCTACACACTAAACCCAGTAAGACCACCGTTTTAGCCACATTCATCAACACAACTGGAGGCCGAGTGGGAAGGGAGGGGGCAGTGCCACAAGCCCAGGATATCTCCCTGAGGCTGGAATGGGCTGGGGTAGGTATGGAACAGCACTTGGCTACAGGCCAGGACCAAAAGTCAAAAGGGGCATCACTGGACTGAGAACCCAGAAAACCAGTGCTCTCTTCTAGGGAACCTGGATGGAATGGAACAACCTAACCTGTTCCCCTCTGTGCTCCATCCAGGCACCTGTGCAGTGGGGGCCCATGATGGCATTTTCAGAATGCCCATTTCTGTTGCTCTGGATTCTAGATTTCCAGTTCTGACCTTGGGAAAAATCAAACTGTCTTGCTCTTTTAAAAAACATGGGGATGGCCCTAGCCAGTTTTGCTCAGTGGTTAGAGGGTTGGCCCTCAAACTGAAGGGTCCTGGGTTCCGGTCTGCTCAAGGGCTCACCCCTTGGCCCTGGACAGGTGCATGCAGGAGGCAACCAATAGATGTGTCTCTTTCTCATCAATGTTTCTCTCCCTCTCCCTCACCTCTCTCCCCTCCACTTTCTCTAAAAAAATTAATGAAAAAAGTATCCTTGGGTGAGGACTTACAAACAAACAAATAAACAAACAAACCATGGGGATGGTTTCCAAAAATTTATGAGCTTCCTTCTAGCTCCAAGGCTCTTGTCACTCTGGCTTTCAACTGCCTTTATAAAATCTCTGGGGATCTGGAAAAGAGAGGCTGAGACTTCTTCTCCTCTAAGGGCTGATTTCACGCCGGTGTCCCCCTTTCAATGAGCAGACTAGATAGCAGGACCCAGACCAGTCACTCTCCACGGGGCTGGAGCCAGACAGGAGGCAAGCCGACTGCTTCTCCCCACAAACACCAGAGTAGAAGCAGATGGGTCTGCTTCGTAACGTTTAATATAAAATGGCAGCAGCCGCTGTGCAGTTGTAACAGAATTAGCCATAGGGTGTCCAGAGAAATGTACACAGGCAGCCCTCGCTGGAGTGGAGCCAGCCAACACAGGCCTGCTGCCCGGTCAGCTGCGGGCTGTCACATGGCCAGGACGATGGTGGTGGCGGCCCAGCAGTGCTGAAGGGCTCAGAGGGCTGATCCTTTACAAGCATTCTGACCTCTACCCCGCCGCAGAGTCTAGATCAGCGGTCGCCAACCTTTCGGACCTCACAGACCACCAGGGGTCTGCGGACCACCGGCTGGCGACCACTGCTCCAAAGGTTTCCTTAAACCAGCGGTCACCAACCTTTCGGACCTCGCGGACCACCGGTTGGTGACCCTTGGTCTAGATGGCACATGTTCTGAGATGCCTGTTCCCAGAGCTCCACCCCTGAGTGGGGGATTTCAGCCCTAAAGAGTGAAGCCCCTGGAAGGATGCAGGGCTGTGACGAGTGGGTGCCTGCTCACAAGCTGCGAGGGGCTGATGCCTCTGGAAATCAGCAGAAAGAAAGGCTAGGTTTTGGGGGTTTTCCCCCTAGAAAAGCCACCAGGTTCAAGTAAATGAGCAGAGGGCTCCCTGCCAAGGCTCACCCCCAAAAAGGAGGTGACTGCCTGCCTGCCCCCCTGTGACCACCCTGAGAGGTGGGTGCGGCAGGCTTGGAATTTGGAGAGCGAGGCCCGTCACCAAAGCCCATCCCTGTAGCCCATCCCCGTAGCCCATCCCCGTAGCCCATCCCCGTAGCCCAGAAAAGCCACTGTGCTTCCTGTGGAGCCCATTTTAAGCCACTGCACACTTCCTAGGCGGCTGGCCTGGCTCCGCGGCCACAGTGCTTGGCTGCCGTTGAAGAGGACACAACCTCGTGCAGAGGCCAGCAGGCGAGTGCAAGGGCAGCCAAGCCCGAGGACCGGCCCCAGGCAGGGGACGGGAACTGCCGCAACGCTACTTCCAAAGAAAGGCCTCGAGGTGCTGGGAAGAGGGTGCAGGTCCTGCTTTAGTGGAAGTCCGTGTTGAAGGCTCTGCCGATGACCAGCCGCCTCACCTCACTGGTCCCGGCCCCGATCTCATACAGCTTGGCATCTCGCAGAAAGCGGCCCATGGGAAAGTCATTGATGTAGCCGTTGCCACCTGTAGCCAGGGTGTGGGCAGAGAGGAAAGGACAACAGCAAAAGTGATGGGAAGTGGACAAAGCAAGAGAAGCAAACAGAAGGCCAAGGATACAGAAACAGGCCAGAGGAAGAGAGCCTGATGAAGGAGAACCAGCAAAAGCTGGTGAGAGGGCGGGTGTGGGGAACACCTTACTTGGGAGGACAGTGAACAAGGGGCCGGAAGGCCACCCAGAGGGGAGAGGACAGCAGGCAGGCAAGAGGACCGCTGGTGGACGTGGAGAAGGGGGATCAGGCGATACTGCATAGCAGTTACGGGGTGCCAGGTTCAGAGAAGTGAAGTAATTTGCACTAGTCACAAAGCTGGTCCGTGGTAAAACCAAGACACAAACCTAGGCCATCTGGCTCAAGTCTGTGCTCTTAACCACTGTGCAGCTTTGAAACCAGGCTGTCCACCCGCCTCTGAGGCATCTCTCTCCACTTCCCGGTGTCCGTAGGACTAGGCGTGAGGGGGGCGTGCTGCCTCCAGCAGTTTTCTCATTTGCTTTTCCATGTTCTCGTAATAACTGGGGCAGAAGCAGCCAAATAGCACCAGCTCCGCTGCAGCTCGCTGAAGCTCAGAGTGAGGGGTGAGGAGGACACCTCTTTCTGGAGGCAGCCACAGGCAAGCCCTGGGAAGGGGAGTGGGGAGGGGGGGCCACTCACCGAAACACTGGATGCCATCCAGGGCCACCTGTGTGGCACACTCAGCGGAGTAAAGAATCACACCCGCGCAGTCCTGTGGGAGGAGGCCCCGCTCAGCAGGCCCTGCCGGGCCACACAGAGAGCGAGTCCCAGCAACCCGCCCGCCGCCTCCTCCTGGGCAGGCCCGCCCTTACCTTGGGGGTGCAGTGGCCCTCGTCGCAGGCCTTGGCGACGTTGTAGACATACTGCCGACATGCCATGAGGCGGGTGTACATGTCGGCCATCTTCCCCTGCATCAGCTGGGCACAAAGGGAGGTCACACGTCAACTTTCCTCTTAGATACCCTCCCTAGTTACCAAAAGCAGATCGGCAGCAGCAGCCTGACAGCCAGAACGGCAACATCAGGGCACAGAAAGCGGACAGGACTTGCCTAGGGTGACCGAGAGGGTAGAGGGCTGCTGCTGCTCCCTGAAGTGGCCCTCCACCCACCACCCCCCTCATTCACGTCCTGCAGCGTCTTCACACCAGAAAGGGTGACCAGAAACGCCGCCCCTGGTACCCCACGCCTCACCCTCACAAGGCCCAGTTCATTCATCTCAAACGAGAAGTGAGGAGACGTGTGAACTCCCCAACAACCTCCCAAGCCAGGCGGCACGCTGACGAAGCCTGCCCTCCAAGCATTCAAACTCACTCTGCTGGGGAAGGGGGGCAGATGCCCATAGCACATGCTCCACGTTCGCATTTGTGAAAGAAAACTTGAACCCAGTGAAAGAGGACATGTCGACAAAGCATTCCACTCACCTGGAAGTGGCCGATCTTCTGGCCAAAGGCTTCTCTCACGTGCAGGTAGGGAATGGTGTGGTCCAGGACGGCCTGCATGATCCTGTGGGGAGGACAAAGACACTGTCCCCCCGCTGCCAGCTGGGGTGGCAAAGTGCCAGTGTGAAAAGGCTTGGGGGGCGGGAGGGGACAGCTCAGTGAGACAAAGAGCTGGAGTTCTAGAGAGGAGAAAAGGAGACTGAGGACACTGGTTGTCCCTGCTCGGTCACTGCACCCCAAGACCGGACAGAGCGGCAAGACCCCTGTGCAGGAGGGCCTTAGAGCCTGGGTGTCCTATTTCACATCTCAGGGGACCGAGCGGTATTGCTCCTCAAGCATTTTGTCTTGCAAAGAATGATCTTTACCTTCAGTGTGCAGAAATACCGCATGGGAGTAGGAGGTTGTTTTCATTTCCAGGAAATAAGGTGCATCAGCCAGGAGGAGAAGACTGCGGCTCTGGCTGCTGTTTGCCAGGGCACTGCTTGCCGGGGAAGCTAAGAGCCCAGCTCCCCCACCCCCACCCTGAGCCTCACACTCACCCGAGGGGCCCACCAGCCAGCACCAGCCGCTCCAGGTCCAGCCCACTCATCAGCACGTAGACGCCCTTACTTAGATGGCCCAAGATGTTCTCAGCTGCTGGGAAAAGTGCTGGTCAGAGGGAAGAGGGCTGTCCACCGCCCACAGACTTCTCCCTTTATAAGAGCTACTAGGTTTGGTACCATGGCTCTCATAACGGGCACTAAAATATGTCACCTGACCTTCAACGAGGTAGATTCTGGATGAGAGAAAAGGACGGAGTTTACCACTCCCTGTCAGAAGTAGAGCTTGCCAGACAGACATCCCCGCCCCCATACACACACGATCCACAGGATCAGACACAAAGGCCAGACTCTTAGGTCTTTTCCTCCTCCACTGCCTTGGATGGGAAGAAGAAAAGCTAATTTGGTCTAGAAGTCACCCAAACCCTTCCTAGTATTTTCACACCTGTGTCCGTAATTACCCTTTCCCTCAGGTTGAGCCTGCTCTGGTCCAATATCACCCGTCCCCTCCCCTCCAAGAGTGTCCATGGAATAGTCATCGTTCAGGAGACGGGCCAGTCCACACTGGTGTCAAAAACTGCTGAGCCCCTCTCCACCCTGGAAGCCGGGACCTTGGGTGACCTCCGAGTGTTTTCCTGCTTACGAAGGAGGATCTGCACTGATCCCCCACTCCCTTGATGCTCTTTGTAACCAAAGCATACTTTTCTTGGGTGGTGGGTCATGCGGGTGAGGCGTGGTCTGTGGCTGAGGTGCAGAGTAAACCTAGTCAGTGATCAAATCTATGTCTTTGGTCTCATTAGCACATGAAGGGTGTGCTGGATCTCCCACAACGTGTCACATTTTCAGTTATACTTCAGGGGAGAAAACACTCAAACTGAATTGCCTTCCCTTCACTGAGTCCAGCTTCCATCAGTACTTGGATGGTGTTTTAGCATTGTGAATGAACACCTCACACAGGCTGTCCTGGGAAATGTGCAAACAAGGACATCTGAAGGACAGTGGGCAAGAACGGATCTTATCTTTCGATTCCAGATACTGGAATCCAACCCAGACACAGTGTGCTATCCACACAGGAAACAGGCACACAGGGAAAACAGCTGCCCCTCAGCCCCAGAGTCCCACACGTATGGGCCCGTGGGCCAGCCACAGTCATTGGTAAGCTAACAATGGGAGCCTCTCTAACCCAGAGATGGGTTTTCTCAGCTTATGAAGGGGTCAACACAGGGGCTCACCCTTTCTTAGACTCACCAGGAACCTTGCAGTCTTCAAAGATGAGCTCACAGGTGTTAGAACCCCTCATCCCCAGCTTGTCCAGCTTCTTGGCGGTGCTGAAGCCAGGCATGCTCTTCACAGAAACAAAAGGTGGCCTTGAGTACAGACCAGGCCCAACAAGGTCTAGTAAAGGGAAGACCCTTGCAAAAAGCCCACCTTCCCATCCAGTCCCAGTACTCCCACGCACACCAGCATTCCGATCCCTGGGCCCACCCTGCACTGGTCCACTCCTGGAAGCTCCAGCCCTAACACCCCACCAGACCCTAGCCTTCTCTGCCGCTAGCTCGCGCTCTCCCCACTTCTCATGGGGGCACTTCTTTCTCAAACGCCTGATCCCTGGGGCCCGCTTGACCCTTCCTAGCTTTGTTTCCTTTCCTTAGGGAAATAATTTCCAAGATATTCTCAGGGGCCCATGCAATTCCTTTGGCCCTTTGTCCCTCTGCCATCTGTACCTAATTGAATCACAGCTGGGATCAATTCAACCACCTGTGTGCTTTGGCCTGGAGTCTAAGCTAATGAGATGCACTGTGCATGGGCAAGTGCTCTGAGCGCATGTTTTGCTTCCCTAACCTCCCGGCTGCTGAGTGGCGTTACACAACCTTGAGATTTCCTATCTTAGCCAAGCCCTTTGGGCTACTCAATTCTCTTCCTCCAATCCTAGCCAGCCTCTTCCTCCCTCTCCCTAGGGAGGGTATTGCAAACCCTTAAGACACTACCAATCCCTCATCCCTGTGATCCCCAGCCCTCACAGATGACCTGCTTTCCACCTCAAGGTCACCAGGCACATCTTCCTCCCCCATCACCTGCACCAGCCTTCTCTCTTCTTCCTCAACTCTCCTTTTGCTCACTTGCTCAGACACATCTCCAGTTCTCCCTCTCCTGAATTTCTCTTTATCAAAAAATTTGCTCAGTTCTCTCCCATTCTTTTTAAAAAACATTTTTATTGATTTTGTATCAATAAAAGGAAGGAAAGAAGAGGGATAGAGAGTTAGAAACATCAGTGAGAAAGAAACATCGATCAGCTGCCTCCTGCACACCTCCCACTGGGGATGTGCCCGCAACCAAGGTACATGCCCTTGACTGGAATCGAACCTGGGACCCCTCAGTCCGCAAGCCGACACTCTATCCACTGAGCCAAACCGGTTTCGGCATCTCTCCCATTCTTAAAAACAAACTCAAACTCCCAACGTTTGTTGTTGTTAATCCTCCCCAGAGGATATTTTTTCCATTGATCTTTTTTTTAGAGAGAATGGAAGGGAGGGGGAGAGACAGAGAGAGAGAAACATTGCTATGAAAGAGACACACTGACTGGTTGCCTCCTGGATCAAGCCTGCAATCGAGGTACGTGCCCTTGACCGGAAGTGGCGCTCTAACCAGTTTGGCTAGGGCCAAACTCCAAACTTTTCATTCTACCTTCTGCCCCATCTCCCTCTTGCTTTTATTTTCAAGATCTGGCCCTAGCCGGTCTGGCTCAGTAGATAGAGTGTTCGTCTGTGGACCAAAAGGTCCTGGGTTCGATTCCAGTCAAGGGCACATGCCCAGGTTGCAGGCTCAATCCCCAGTAGGGGGAATGCAGGAGGCAGCCAATCAATGATTCTCTGTCATCATTGATGTTTCTATCGCTCCCTCTCCCTTCCTCTCTGAAATCAGTAAAAAGATATATAATATGTATATAAAAGATTTGAAAGGTGCAGTCTTCATTCTGTCTCCACTCGCATTCCCATTCACACTTCCACTTCAGTCTTCCACAGCTGCTCTCAGCAGCCCCCTGATGACACCTTCATTGTCAAATCCAGTTCTCCTCAGTCCTCATCATCCTGCCCCTGTGTGTGGCCTGACTCGGTGGGCGGCTCCACCAATCTCAGACTTGACGCAGCCTCCCTGATGTCCCCTGCCTTTCAGTCTGTTCTTCACCCCAACCCGGGGAGCCTTGGCAGGGCACACCGGATAGCTCGGATAGCTCGTGTTTGCCATCAGGGGAAGGGATCTCTCTCTGGCATCACTGTCAGGAGACAAAGCCCTCCCATCTGCACTCCCCCCGCATTCACCTTCTCCACGATGAAGGCTGTGATGCCCCGAGAAGCGGGCACAGCAGCCAGGTCTGTCTTGGCATAGACAACAAGGACGTCGGCATCAGGGCCATTGGTGATCCAGAACTTGTTGCCATTCAGGATGTAGTGATCTCCTAAGAACAGGAATTTGGCCACTTAACACCAGCCATGTTGGCCCATCTCGGCCAGTCAGTCCACAGACTGCTAAGCAGGAAGCTGCCTGGCTGGAAATAGTTCTGGAAATCTAGCAGAGGCCACCCCAATGATGTCCCTCTGCCTTTTCGGCTCCCAAGTCGAAAGAGGCCTCACCTTTCTTTTCAGCTTTTAGCTTCATGGAGACAACGTCAGAGCCAGCATTGGGCTCACTCATGGCCAGGGCGCCGACGTACTCCCCACTGATCAGCTGCAAAGAAAACCCCAAAGGGCCTGGTTATGACTTTCTTTAGAAGTACCCACAGGAGTTGAGATACTTCCTGCCTGTTTGCATGACACCCCTTCACACTTCTTATTCAAAAGAAGTCTTACAAAAGAAGCCCAGTACGTACCAGGCTGAAAACCTCTCTCCTTTCCCTAGTCCCTTTGCACAGAAGCAAGTCCTAGTCTTCAGCTTCTGAGAGTGCTCCCTGCAAATGCTGCCCAGGGATGAACTCGGAAGGTTTGGCCGTAGTTTTAATTTTTTTGACTTAAGTATTTGAAAGCAAAACCCTGGCCCCTTCCTAGCTGTATCTGGTTCAGGGCAGCGTGCGACGGAAAGCAAATCTGACCGGCCCTCGACCACAGGGAGGGTGCCTCGTGTTGGGTGGTGGCACGGAGATCAGGGTGTGTTTCTCCATTCCCATCGCCTCACCTTGGGGAGGTACTTCTCCTTCTGGGCCTCGTTTCCATTGCGCACAATCTGATTGATGCAGAGGTTGGAGTGGGCGCCGTAACTGAGTCCCACGGCTCCAGAAGCCCGGGATATCTCCTCCATCACCAGCACATGCTCCAGGTAGCCCATGCCAGAGCCGCCGTACTGGGCTGGGAGTAGAGGTCGTGCAGGGGAACAGAAAAGGCAGCTCAGATTAACCCAGGACACTGACAGGACCTAACAGTTATTGGCAGCAGAGGAACATCCTTGTAGCACCTATTCCAAGTTCTTGCTGACAGAGTCAACAGGTTGATGCCATGGAGGTGGTTCAGAAAACAGCCATTGCAACCCCCGCTTTATCCCAGACAGACCTCTTAATGAAGGTAGGAGAACCTGAAGTGCAAGACAGATGTTTGTGTAAAAGGCCTGAGGCAAGTGAGATGTGCACAGCATAGGTTTGGACCTAAAGAAACAGGACTATCAAATAAACAAATTGTACACCTTAAACATACATAAGGTTACACGTCAGTTATATCTCAATGAAAACAGTTAAAAAAAGAAAAAAAAGCAAGATTAGTAACAGGAACAGGAGAGCCACAGCCTGAGAGAAAATCTGGTGGGCAGTGCAGTCGAGATGCTGGTTAGGGAATCTCAGAACTCTTCATAAAAATGTGCCTTTTCCTTGGCAGGAGGGCCTAAATCAAAATGGCTGGAGTTTTTTTGGCTTCTTCTCAAATCTCCGCCAGGTTCAGCCTTTTCGCCTCCACTCCAGCCGCCACTGTGTCCACAAGGGTGACCCAGAAAATGGCTGGCTCAGTGGATAGAGCGCTGGCCTGCGGACTGAAGGATCCCGGGTTCGATTCTAGTTAAGGGCACATGCCTGGTTTCGGGCTCGATCCCGGAGTGTGGGCTGTGCAGGAGGTAGCTGATCAATGATTCTCTCTCATCACTGATGTTTCTATCTCTCTCTCCCCCTTTCCCTTCCTCTCTGAAATCAATAATAATAATAAAAGTGGCTGGGTCCACTGGTACCAACCGCTGCCCTGCAATTTGGGTAAACCCTGGTGAGATTCTCTGCACGTGTTCACTCTTGACCAAGAAGTCAGGCTCATCCAAGGCTCTCCGGAAAGGCTGGCCCGCCCCCTGCAATGCCGGGAAGGAAAGCCCTCAGGTGCTGACACTGGAAAAAGCCACCAGGACAATCAGGCAGAAACCGGAGCTTATATCTGGCTTCCTTTTCAAGTTTCTGATTTCTAACTACCTTCTTCTTCCATTAAAATACCATCTGGTTCAGAAACATATTCTTTATGGGGTTCATAAACCCCCAAGACACGGAGGAAGAAAGTCTTGTTTAGGAGTTTCCAGTGGCCTTCCCCCTATTTCCCATGAAGGTGGTCTAAATTAATTTTTAAGTGGTTTCATTTTATCATTACTCATGATCTAACTTTCTATGATCAGCTCAAAACCAAGAACTGTCTCCGAGGGGCTGAGGGGGAGATGTAAGGAGAAGTATATTGTTTTCCACCTCCATTCTAATGCCCAAGGAATACAAGCTGAGGCAGGCTGTGCCATCCCAGCTGTAGCTGGCGAGGCCAGTCTCATCTATTTATTGGGCATTGCAAGCCAGGCTGGGCCTCTCCTTCAGAGGCCAACATCCAAATCAGAGACCACCAGCTCCCTGCCGTATATCCCTGAAACAAGTAGTAAGATCCACAGGGGACACAGGGCAGGCCCAGGGACAGCGTATTTAACACGTCATCTGGCCACCTCATGTGGAGGCTCAGCATTCCTCCACAACTTCATCTGTTTCCAAATGAGCCCCAGGATCAAGCTGCGTGCCTAGATGTTATTGGTAGAAGAGTTAAGAGCTTAGGGACTAGACTAAGGGACTAGGCTGCCAATATCACCTGGGGGAGCTTATTCAGCACGCAGACTTCAAGAGTCCAAGTAGAGGCAGTGGCCATGGGAAGGTGGGAGCAGAGATTGGAATGATGTAGCCTAAAGCCTGGAAACACCAAGACAGTTGCCTGAAGCAGCAAGGAACGAACTCTCCTCTAGTCTCTGCAGGGAGCACAGCTCCACTGGTTTCAGACTTCCAGCTTCCAGAACCTTATATAAGAGAATAAACTTCTTTCGTTTTAAGTAAAAAAAAAAAGAGAGAGAGAGAGAGTCCAAGTAATCCTGACCCAAGTGAACCACACTGGCCTAATCCCTTTGTCATCTCAACGTCACTGCCTAAGAAAATAGAAGGGCTGACAGTCAATTCGAGCTTTCCTAGGGCTAAGGGGGAAGAGGTTCTGGGTTTCTTTAAGCACAATCCTTTTTTTTTTCTTTGAGCACAGTCTTTTTACTCCTTTCCTGCTTCTTTTAGCTCTGGTGTTAAAGGGCACGCAAGAAAAGTTCTCTTTAGGGAGTGAAACGATACTCACCAGGGGCTGTGATGCCCAGGACTCCCAGTTTCCCCAGCTGTTTCCAAAACTCCTGCCAACAGAATGGAGAGAGCACAGTGGGTGGTGAGAAGGCAGCCAGTCACAGGTGCCTGGGCACCTGGAACAAGGAGACCCAAACCCTTCACAGAAAGGGGCTGCATTTTTAAGGTTTCATTTCCCAGAAGACTGTATGAGTCCTTCCAGGCTGCCGTGTAACTCCCAGCACCCCCCAGCTCCCAGTCTGGCCCCCGGCACCCCCAGTGTGGACCTCACGACTCACTCGAAGGTTCTTGAATTCATTGCTTCGATCAATCTCCTGGGCCTGGGGGGCTAGGTGCTCCTGCAGGAACTTAGAGAGGGTGTGACGAAGCTAGAGGGAGAGAGGTGCACAGATGCCTCTTTAACATTATTGCCACTGCAGACGGCGTCTCCACTGCTGAGGACACATTCGGGGAAACAGGCTCCACGACGCCTCCCCAAACGGCATCAGACGGAAACTTAAGAGACCCCTAGTTTATGTTCCTCAGAGATCATCTTTGCCCCTCTTTCTTGAGGTCCTCCGTCTAGGCAGCTTCATGATTATTTTTTAAACTAGAGGCCCGATGCACGAAATTCGTGCAAGGGCCTTGGCCCCGCTGTCGCACCGGCCGCCTCTGCTTTGGTCCCCACCCGCTGCCACTGCCAGGGATCTCTGCCACCTCTGCTTCAGACCCTGCCCCCCATGGCTTTGTCTGGAAGGACGTCCGGAAGGATGTCTGGTCTAATTAGCATATTATGCTTTTATTATTACAGATGTCATTCTCCTACATACAATCATTCCATGGCTTTCCTTCGTACTTAGAAGGCCGAGGCCCTGCATGAACTGACCCTATCAACCCAGCCCTTCCAGCCTTCTCCAGTCCCCCCTCCCCTCCACCCCGGCCACCACTGTAAGCACCTGTCGGCTCTTTTCTGCCCTTTATCTCAAAGGGATTACTCCACGAGATCAGAAACTCCTCTTGGCAGGAAAGTTTGAGAGCTAGAACTGCTTTCTAGTTCTCCGGCGCGATTGAAAGCTCTGCCTGCTGTCTGTGAACCCGAGTGGGCTGGGAGTTCCGGGACGCTGGCACA